GTTGTGTAGCCAGAACGGCATTCACAGGTCGGGAGTCTACATAACTCGAGACTGCCTCTCTGTGAATGTCGTTCAAGGTATGTCGATAAGCTGCCGGGTCCAGAGTAGTGATGGCAAAAAAACTTTAATAATCGATTGATCGGTTAATTGATTAATCGAAAGAATTCGATTAATAATTCCAGTTAATCGTAAGAAATTAACCGATTAAAATCGAAAATAATAAAAACCATTTACTAAGTTAAAAAAATTGACCATGAATTCAGTGCGCAAACAATCAAGAAAACTAAAAACTAAGGGAAACAATAAATAAAAAGAAGTAAAGTAGTATACCATCCCTTATACACCCCGTGTCAAAATTATAAGCGCATCACAAGAATTATTTTTGTTATTCAAAAAATTCGAGCTTTTTTATTTGATTCCTTAGAAAGATTCTCAGTATGCGTAAGCCCATTGCTGCCGCTGCAAAATTGAAGTATCACTTACCGTTGATTTTTGGCAATTTTTTCTACGGTGATGCTTATTTTCTTCCATATAAAAAAGCGTGTGGAAGCAATTGCGAAACACCGCATTTGGAAAATAAAATGAAAATATGTGGATACCTGCGTTGTGTTTTTTAGTTGTTTTATTTGTTTAGTTGTTAGGTTAAACTTGTGTTGCGCTTTTTGCAAAAATATCGTTTAAAAAATTTGCAGAATATGAGAATATAAAAAATCTCCCAACTAGTAAAAGTATGCATGTATATGTATGTACCCGGTAGAATGGACACTTTTATTGTTCCTAATATTTTTGAGTGGTAAGAATGCCAATTTTGTTACGGAATTTTGATTCATTATTGTGTGAGTAAAGTAGCCAGTTTTTGATGATTTCTTTTCGATTATTTTCAAAATTAATCGGTTAATCGCTCGACTAATCGAAAGGAAAATTTCGATACAATTAAATCGTTAACCGAATGCAAATAACCAATTATAATCGGTTATTCGATTAATCGTGCCATCACTAGTCCAGAGGTTGATTGATGAACCTCTGGAGACTTCGTCCGTCAGTTTGTAAAGATGCCTCCTGACGCGCCTGGGCGAAGGCTCTTCTGCAAGGAGTTGCCTGTTGGGATGGACACATCTGTGGCTCCCAACCAGCAACTGCCTGCAGAGCACTATGTTATGCTCCTTAACTGGGAGCATTTGGGCCTCCTCGTGCAGGTGGTGTTGCGGCGACATTAAGAGGCATCCTGTCGCTGTCCTAAGTGCCGTGTTTTGGCAAGTCTGCAGCTTCATCCACTGCGTCCTACTAGTCCCCGGTGACCACACAGGCGCAGCGTAGTTCAGAACCGGCCGGCCCATTGCCTTGTACGTTGCCAGAAATGTTTTTTTGTCTTTGCCCCAGGTGCTGCCGGCTAGCGACTTGAGGACCTTGTTGCGGCTTTGTACTTTGTTGACAATTGAGCTTGTATGCGCCGAGAAGGAGAGCAGACTACCAAATGTTACTTCCAGTATATTCGGGTTGTTAACCGTCGGAATTGGTGTATCATCGACGTGAATTCGCTGTTGGAGTCTGACCTCCTTCGTCCAGACGGTAAAAAGTGTGACTGAGGATTTTGTAGGGGAGAGGGTTAGGCTCTGTGCAGTGAAGCGAGAAATCTCGGCGAGATAATCGTTTACTTTCGGGCACAAGTCATCAACTCCATTCCCGGACGCCATGATCGAGCAATCGCCATCATAAGAGACAATCGAGACTCCCCTGGTTGAGGGAGCTTTGAAATGTAAAAGCTAAACAGTAATGGGGAAAGACCACCCTGTGGAACCCCCTGTTTTATTCTCCGCGGTGTGTTCGATTTGTCTCTAAAAGTTACTGACGATTTACGACCACTCTCCCTGTGGGAGAGAGGAGGCCTCTATGTCTTCTAGTAGCGTTGAATAGCAGACAGTATTAGACAGGTCGAGCGCCATTATATTGGTTCTCTCACAGGGGCGCTTTCGGTTTAGACCACGAGTTATCTGGGTATTTAAGGCATTAAGTGCTGTTGTTGTACTGTGCACTTTACGGAACCCATGCCGATGTTCGCTGGGGTCAGGTGGTTTGTAAAATACGGGAAACGGGAAAAGGAGGGTTATCGGACGATAAGACTCTCCTTTGTTGGCTGGTTTCCGCGGTTTGAGCAGTGGGACCACAAGCTAAGGACCTCCGCTAGGTACGCTACTCCCGTAGGGTCCAAATTTTTCAGCATCAGCATGCATATTCCGTCGGGTCCAATGGCTTTGGGGGCTTTCGCCTTCTCGATGGCTACCCTTACCTCACCGCTGGTGAAAACAAGAGGCGCACTTGGTTTTGGTAGTTTGTGCAGCCTTGTGGTCACGTTTGGATTTATCCACTGGAGGATGCAGGATGAACTGCCGGCTAAAATAGCTCGCGCATCGCTCCGGGTCCGAAGAAGCGTGTTGTTCAAAGTCCATTTCAACTCTGTTGTTGTTGGCATCTCAGTCGTTGTCGTCGAGTTCCACTAACGGCAGCCGTTGGGTTGTAGGGTTTTCCGGGCATGCAAAGAGATGTTTCGAGTCGTGAGGGGTCTCTCCGCATGCCGGACATTCATTCGGCACATCCGCATTTAGCCTACTCAGGTAAGAGTTCAGCCTGCTGCAGTAGCCAGAGCGAAGTTGGGCTATTGTTGTTCTTGTCTCCCGAGGCAGATAGAGCTCCGTCGCGTCAATGTCCCGTGTTTGTGTGCCTAGAACGGCATTCACAGGTCTAGAGTCTACATAACTCGAGACTGAGTCCCTGTGAATACCGTTCACAGGTATGCTGACGGGTCCAAAGGCTGCTTAATGAACCTCTGGACTTCGTCCGCCAGTTCATATAGATGCCTCCTGACGTGTCTAGGCGAGGGCTCCTCTGCAAGCAGCTGTCTGTTTAGGTGGCCGCATCTGTGGCTCCCAACCAGAAACTGCTTGCAGAGTATTATGTTATGCTCCCTAATTCATGGAGGTGGTGTTCGGGTAACATCAGGAGGCATCCGGTCGCTGTCCTGAGTGTGGTGTTCTGTGCTATCTGTAGCTTCATCCACAGCGTCCTACCAGTCCCCGGCGACCACACTGGTACTGCGTAGTTTAAAACCCGCCGGCCTATTGCCTTGTATGTTGCAGCAATGTTTCTTTGTCTTTGCCCCAGGTACTGCCGGCTAGCGACTTGAAGACTTTGTTGCGGCTCTGTACTTTGTTGACAATTCGGTTGCGTGCGCAGAGGAGAGCAGGCTGTCGAATGTTACTCCGAGTATTTTGGGGTTATTCACCGTGGGAATTGATGTATCATCGACTTGAATTCCCAGCGGTAGCCTGACCCCCTTCGTCCAGGTGGTGAACAAGATAGCAGAGGATTTCGTAGGCGAGAGGATTTCGTAGATCGCCGGAACAACAGCCCTTGGTCGGGTAAATTCCGAGTCATACCGGTACGTAGAACCAGCTGTCGTGGGAATGAACGTGTCTTTGCCACAGGTGCTGCCGGCTAGCCACTTGATGACCTTCTTGCGGCTTTGTACTCTGTGGTATGCGCCGAGAAGGAGAGCAGACTATCGAAGGTTACTGCGAGTATCTTCGGGTTGTTCACCGTCGGAATTGGTGTATCATCGACGAGAATTCCCAGTTGTAGTTTGACCGTCCATGTGGTAAAAAGTGTGCTGAGGATTTTGTAGGGGTGAGGGTTAAGCTCCGTACAGTGAAGAAGCGAGAAAGCTCGGCGAGATAACCGCTTACTTTCGAGGACAAGTCATCAATTCCATTCCCGGACGCCATGATCGAACAATCGACAGCATAAGGGACTATCGAGGCACCCTCTGGTGGTTGAGGGAGCTTTGGAATGTAAAAGGTTAACAATAATGGGGAAAGGACACCCTGTGGAACCCCCTGTTTTATTTTTTTAGGTTTGTTCGATTTGTCTCTAAAAGTTTCTGACGAGTGACGACCCCCGTTTGAGTCCCTGTGAGAGAGAAGAGGCCTCTATCCCTTCTAGTAGTGTGGCTTACAGTGTGGTAAACAATGTTGGGTACTCCTTTTTTAGTCATATGTGCTTATGCCATAAGAATTCTTTTGTAATTATAGGTATCATTCCAATCAGGTAGAAATTTTCAAAGTTTCTTCTCTGTTAGATAGTTCATTATATAAGTACAGTCAGTGCACGGACTTTACCACTTTATTGCTAGATTTGCAGACTTTGAGCTAAGTTATATTTTCTACCATTTTTACCAACAAAGGCTAAAAATATACCAATATTTTGCCGAAAAAAAGCAAACAGATTTAAATGAACATACATATTTTGACATCGAACGCACCTTGAATAAAAATTAAAAGTTAACTTTGTCGAAGAATAATTGTTTGAGTCTCCGTCTTATTAAATTAATATAGAGCCCGAATCAGGGCATCCATGATCGAACTAGTGTGTGTTCTCTTTTTCAATTCAAATTAAGTAGGATAAAAAGCTATAATTTTAATTAATTCGATTCGAATCGAGTTCCACTCGATAACGGATGCCGTGATTAGAGCCCAATTTAAGTTTTTGTTGAATATTTTATTCACATGAATTTAATTCTTGGGCTTTATATAAAAATACAATTCATCCCAAGGCGAATTCATATCAAATGAAAGCAGTTAACGCAAGTGAAAGTGAACAAAAATTACACGAAAATAAATTTACGTACAATGCGAGTAACAACAACAAATACATACATATATCATTTTGACATTAAGGTTCATGAAGGCGTAAATCCAGCTGATCTGGTAACGCCATCTTTTATAAATTCGCCATGTTTTATCCTATTTGAGTAAAAACTATCTGATATTGTTTCTTTCAAAACTCTACCCACTTCTACCATTTTTTGCATGTAAAATCTGCCAATAATATTTTTTTCGAAGTCCGCGCACTGGTTACAATGTGAACTATTCCCAAAATGAATTTTTATACGTGAGTACTTAGTTTCATTTATAACTATTACAATAAATTATCGATTGATATTTTACATTACGAAAACTTTCTCAATTTTTGGATGTGAAAACATTGTATTTGTTATTGGACAAATAACGCCACCATCTTCTTTGGTTATTTCCGGTACTGCCTAAAATGAACAATAAGTTAAAATGGTGTATTTATGTAAATTCATATTTACCAATTGTCCAAAGATTTGACCATTTGGTAGCATCATAGGCAAATTGTGTTCATTTAGTGGTAGACCAGTGATCCTACATTTGGAAGAGGTGAAAATGAATTAATGTTATGTGTTATGCCGAAATGGAAAAGTACAATCTATTTCATAAGAAACCTTAATATACTTGTTGATACTTGTATAGAACTCAATTCTATATATTCTTTATTGTAAAATTTATTCAAATACAATACTCTCAATACAAACGTGTTGCAACCAAAATGTCAAATCAAATTGTGTATCTATTTTTCGCGTGACGTTAGCTGCCGTGTATCGGTTAAAATTTAAAAAATTGACGTTTCTTCATCTCGCTCAGTGTTGCCACCTGAGTGTATTACCGCGCCAGTATAAGGGCTAGTCCCTACACCACCCCCTTTCAAGAAGAAGCGCCAAGAAAAGGTAGTTCTTTCCATGTTCCAGATCTATTTATAGCTGCCAACTCATCTTTAGGAAAATACGCCGGTTTGAGTCGATCAATAGATACTGTAACTTGCTGCTATAGTGTACGTCTTCGGATGCCTGTGTACCACAAGATATGGTCCGTCGTAAGGAGCCTTCAACGGTTTATGGATGGTGTCGTCCCGTAGAAATACCTGACTACAAAAACGCAAGTCCTTGGGCACGTAAACTGCAGGCCTTCCGTGCTGTGAAGTTTGCATCGGGTTCATGTTCTCGAAATGTTGTCGTAGTTCCCTCAAAAAACTCTGCTCATCCGCGGCCGTATTCTCTGTGGCATCCAAAAAGCCACTGGGAAGTCGGATCGTCTGGCCATAAAGCATTTCCGCGACAGATGCGCCCAACTCCTCCTTCACAGCCGTTCGCAAACCCAGTAGAACAATCGGTAATGCGTCCACCCAGTTGGCGTCGGCCGAATGGCACCTGAGCGCGCCCTTCAGAACCCGATGCCATCTTTCCACCAGGCCATTTGCTTGTGGATGGTAGCTGGTAGTATGTACGTGCTTCACTCCCAGCAGTTTCGCTAGTTGTTGGAACAAGGCACTTTCAAACTGCCGGCCCTGATCCGTGGTGATGTACCTCGGTGTACCAAAACGGCTTACCCAGCCATTGAGTAGCTCTCTGGCGACAGTTTCAGCTGTCATGTTCTCCAACGAGATAACCTCTATCCATCTAGAGAATCTGTCTACACACGTTAGGCAATACGTATACCCCCTAGAAGGCGTAAAAGGTCCAACAATATCCACATTAATGTGTTCGAATCGCTTGGCAGGGACCGTAAATGTTTGCAGTTCTCCTTTTGTATGTCGTGCAACCTTGCAACGCTGGCATGCTGAGCAGCTACGCACTCGTGCCCGTAAATCGCTGCTCATCTTCTTCCACACAAAACTCTTGGAAACTAACTTAATGGTTGCGCGTGCCCCCGGGTGTGCTAACCCGTGATTGGCGCTGAACACCACCTGTCGCAGGCTCACGGGAATATAGGGGCGGTATGTTCCAGTTGAATCATCACAAATTATATCAATGTCTGTATCTGGATGACGACAACGTACCAGGTGCAAGGCAGTAGACTCGCCTTTTAGCAGCTCTTGTAACTCGCTGCTTTTATTTTGTTCGTCGCGCAGATGCTGCAGGTCGATTGGTGATGGAATAGCGAACGTTTCTATCCGGGAGAGCATATCGGCTACGATGTTATCAGTCCCTTTAATGTGCCTGATGTCCGACGAAAACTGACTTATGAAATTCAGCTGTCGCGTTTGTCGTGGTGACAGCTTTTCCCATTTTTGGTCAAAAGCGTGTATAAGCGGTTTATGATCGGTGAAAATTATAAAATTCGTTCCCTCTAAAAAGTAGCGAAAGTGTCGGACTGCTTTATAAATGGCGAGTAACTCGCGATCGTAAGCGCTGTATCGTTGTTCGGCCGGAGTAAATTTCTGTGAGTAGAACCCTAAAGGTAACCATTCGTCACCGACTTGTTGCTGGAGCACAGCCCCTACCGCGATATCCGATGCGTCTGCCATTACAGCAATGGTGGCGCCTCTCAACGGAAAAGCAAGTAGTGTTGCTTCGGCCAATTGTTTTTTTAAGTTTTCAAACGCGTTTTCTGCTTCTGTTGTCTAGCTTATCACGGTCTTGTCACGCTTCTTACACGGCCCCATCAATTTATGAAGAGGTGCCTCAGTGGCAGCCGCATGCGGCAAAAATCGCCGATAAAAATTTACCGCGCCTAAAAAACTTCTAAGCTCGTGGATTTCTTTCGGTTTTTTTAAATCCAGAATAGCTTTTACTTTGTGAGGAAGAGGCTTGACACCGCTTGACGACACGAGATGGCCTAGGAATTCCACCTCTGCTTTACCTAGCTGACACTTCTCCGCATTTATGATCAAGCCATTCTCACGATAGCGTTTGAACAGTACCTCCAGGTGTTGCGCATGTTCCTCGGGCGAAGAAGATGCCACCAACACATCATCCAAATACGGGAATACAAACGACAGTCCTCTGACTGCTTCGTCTATGAAGCGTTGGAATGTCTGCGCGGCGTTTCTCAGGCCAAACGTCATGAATTTAAATTCAAACAGCCCAAATGGGGTGAGTATAGCCGTCTTCGGCACGTCTGTCGGATGCACCGGGATCTGGTGATAAGCCTTTCTGTAATCAATCACGGAAAATATCGTTTTACCGTGTAAATCACTACCAAAGTCCTGAATACGGCGCACAGGGTAGCTATCTGGGATTGTAACAGCGTTCAAACGTCGATAATCGCCACATGGGCGCCAAGAACCATTCGACTTTCTCACCATGTGCAACGGGCTGGCCCATTGACTTTTCGAGCGCTGACAAATTCCACGGTCTAACAGGTACTCAAACTCCGTTTTTGCGATTTCCAATTTTTCTGGGGAAAGACGACGTACTTTCTGCACGACGGGTGCACCTCTTGTCTCTATATAGTGTTGCACTGCCGTTTGGGTTTTCTTGGGCTGAGCCGCATCGCTGGTGAGGTCAGGAAAACGTGCTAAAATGCGTTGAAATGCGTCGGTGTCTCTTAATGAGATAATGCTGCGTGTTAGTTTCATTATCTGACAGACGGTCTGCGAATTCGTTGTACGGTGTATGATTGCCTTGCTTTTTACATCTACCAATATATTGTAATATTGTAAAAAATCGGCACCCAATATCGGATATGCTACGTCAGCAATTATAAAAACCCAAGAGAATGTTTGCTGTAAACCTAAATCTAAAGTGATGCGTTTCTTACCATAGGTGTTGATAAAAGTATTGTTAGCAGCTACTAACTTCGTAGTAGTAATCTGCGTATCGTCGCCACTGTGCTTGGGCATTACAGACACTTCGGCGCCGGTGTCGATTAAAAATCTTAATGATGTACTTTTATCTCGCACGTAAAGGCGGCACGAGCTGGTGTTAGCCTCCGTTGTGGCCGCTTTAAACGGAGGGCTAACTAGTTTTCCGCGCGTTGTTGACGATAAGTACAAGGCGAGCGGCACCTGGTTGCGCTGTCGCCAAACGTACGGTGATACCAACAAAGAGTGTCCTGTTTCGGCGTAGATGAGCCCTGCCGAGAACTAACAGGTCGTTGCGAATGAGACACGTTATTCGTGTAGCTCCGGTCGTTGCGGACGAAGTTGCGTTGATTATTGCGTGTGAGGCGATCTAGCCTGTTCGTCAAGTCGGAGATAGCAGCTTGCATGCCGTCATCCGGTACCTTGACCACATTAACATCAACATTTGTTGCAGAAATTTCCATTATAGTGTCAGCTTTCATAGCCAGTTCTTCGATGCTGCCTTCGAACGTTGCTAAAATTTGCTGGATATTAGTTGGTAAACGTTGTAACCAAAGCGATTTCAAAACTTCCTTGTCAATGTGTTGATCAGCCAAGTCTTTCATTTCTCGCAGCAAAGTTGTGGCTTTTTTGTCTCCCAATCTGCACCCTTCAAATAATCGTTTCAAGCGTTTCTCTTTTGACTCCCCAAACTCCGTAATCAACCGCTCTTTCAGGAGCTCGTACTTCCCTGAAGCTGGCGGTGACGTAATTATGTCGCTAGCATGTGCCAACACCGCTGAATCAATTTCTGCCACTACAGTGTAGTACTTGGTCTCGTCGGTGGAGATTCCTGCACGTACAAACTGCGCCTCAACCTGCGCGAACCACAGCCGGGGATTTGGCTTCCAAAACGGTGGCGGCTTAAGGGCGAGCCGTGCCACATGAACTGGAGAAGCCGCGTCTTCGAATCGGTCATTACCATCGTCGCTCATTCTGTGTTTCTTGCGGGGTAACCAATTATAGAACTCAATTCTATATATTCTTTATTGTAAAATTTATTCAAATACAATACTCTCAATACAAACGTGTTGCAACCAAAAAGTCAAATCAAATTGTGTATCTATTTTTCGCGTGACGTTAGCTGCCGTGTATCGGTTAAAATTTAAGAATTGACGTTTCTTCATCTCGCTCAGTGTTGCCACCTGAGTGTATTACCGCGCCAGTGTAAGGGCTAGTCCCTACACTTGTTATCAAAACAATTTTTATGGGACTAAGAAATATTGTATAATTTTTAGCCCATTTATAAAAGCGTTGTATATTAAAAAGTTTTTTTTTGATTTAATTTATATAAGTATAGAATCCTCCATACTCAGCGTTTTTCAATTTAATTTTTGCTTATAGCGAGGTTTTAAATAGGGCTAAAAATTTGGAAATAATATTTCTCAGTCCCATAGAATTTGTTGTGATAACCTTTGATTTTGAAATTTTAGCAAAAGTCATTATAAACCATTTATGAGATTGAAAATGAAAAGCGTGGGGCGCATGTAATAGACCTGAATTAATATCAAGGGTAATCGAATGAAAAATCGATATAGCGGAACGAGGTAGTGGGTTTGTGGTACCAATCGAAAGAAATTTTGTTGTTGTTTTGTTTTGTTCAATTGGTACCACAAACCCACTACCTCGTTCCGCTATATCGATTTTTACTCGTCACATCAATTGAGCCAGAAAGTGGGAGTTGTTTCTATGCTTGTTGATAAAGCGATTAAGTTGGCGGATCATAAGCACCACCGCAAAAATT